GTGGCCGTCGTCATCGTTGTGGCTGGTGTGCGTGGTGGTGGACGTTGGCGATGTGGTGTGTAGGCGTCGGTGATAATGGTGGTTGGAGAGAGATGTGGCGTTGTTTGTTGATGATGCCCAAATCAAACGTCGGCGTTTGCCGACGTTTGATTTGGGCATCAGGAATTCCGTTCCGTCTGATTCCGTGAGCATTCCTTCCGGGTGATCACCGGAACCATTCCGGCGGAATTTGAATTCCATTCAAAATTCCGCGGAATAGTTTGATCAATTTGGCAGGGCCCTCTGCCAAATTTGATTCCTCCGGAATTCCAGGAATTGCCCGGATTCCGCCGGAATCCGGCAGGAATCAGTGGAGGACAATAAAGACCTCCCCTTTAGTAGCCATTCAATGAACTTGACGTATGTCATTGGTATCTGGCGTTTCTTCAGGTTGTGAATGAGCCTGTCAGTGACTGCATTTGGGAAGGCCCCCTTGACATCTAAGAACAATATCGAGGCGACCTTCTTCTTACCCCAGGCAGACTTGATCTTCCCCACTAAGTAGTGGATGGCGTCGGTCATGGTGCGGCCTGGGCGTCCTCCGAAGTGGGTATCTGGCAGTAGTGTGTTCTTCTCCACCAGGTGACCTATGTCCTCCGCAATGATGGCTGTTAGTACCTTTGGAATCGTGCACAATAACGCTATAGGTCGGTATGCCTTTGGCACCTCGTAGTTTGGCTTTCCTGGCTTACTCAGTACGGCTGTCGTGAATTCCTGCCACCCTTTGAAGTAAGTTCTCAGCGCGAAGATGCCTCGAAACAGGTGAACCAGGTAGTCCAACAACTGTCCAAGGCACCTCTGGAGTACCACGTTCGGTATTTCATCTGGGCCGCATGCTTTGAATGGCGAGAGTCTTTTGATTTGGCGTGTTATCTGCTCCGGTGTGATAGGCGGTGGCGGTGGGAGCGGTTCTGGGTATTCATAGTCATCCGGTGTCCTGGATATATCTGGTTTCTTGGGAAAAAAGATCTGTGCCAAAACCTTGGCCTTGCCGTCGTTGGTGTTGACTTCCTGAGTAATCCCATTGGTGCCTTCATCGGTTACCTTAAGGGTTGGGATCCTCGACTTGCCCCCGTCTCCTATCGGCTCTTTGAAGTAGCGATTTGCCGTCCATAAGTCCTGCTCAGAGGCATTCTCAAGGAACTCCTCCCAGTGCCTGCGCTTCGCCTCTATGATCGCCTCCCCATACTCATTCCTCGCCTTTCGTATCTCTGTATGAGATTCGTGATCTGGCGAGGCTCTGTATCTGTAGGCTAGACGACTTAGCTTCTTCATATTCGTCTTTTGTCGACTTAAGTCGTTATTCCACCACCTTTTCGAAAAGGGACATGGCTTGTTCATTGGAACCCTGGTGCGGATAGTGTCTTGTATCGCCGCCGTTAGCTCTTCCGCAGCTTCCTTGAATTGCTGCTTCGTTCGAAGTATCTGAGGGGGTGGTAGCTCGAGCAGTCGGTCGGCCAAGTTTTCTTGAAAGTCGTCCCAGTCGACAGCCCGGAAGTTGTATGATATCTTTGGAGCTACGCGTTCCTGTGGAAGGGTAATGTAAGTCGCTATGGGGAAATGGTCAGTCGCTGGTGG